TGTGTCCCAATTCATGGTCTATGTAGGCCGGGTCCTTCGAAGGCTGGAAGGGACAGTCTTATCTTCATCCACTGCTCAGGTTGCCTAGCAGCCACAATACTAGCCACTAGACACGTTTTATACGGCATTGTTTGACAGGAATGGAAGCGAAAATTTGTTGTTTTTTGTTTGTTTTTTACTTAAATGTTTTTTAGTTTATTGAGTATCTGAGGCTTAGAGACTGAAAACATGATTGTTGGGCTTCATTTCTGTATCCAGTAACAGTAATTTTAAGATTAACTGGTAAATAACGTATTATTATTAATGATTATTGTTGATTAATATTATATTAATAATTATTAATAAATGAAATGTATTTTATTACAAATTTGCAGTTGTGAACTTGAACTCTGTTTCAAATAATTAGCTTCAGTAAAGATTCAAGTTGCATTTATTTATATTCCCTATCACTTACTCTTCATCTCAAAGACAAGTATCTTTCAGACGTATTGTATATAAAAGAGACAAATATTGTTACGAGCTGTGATTGGCTTTTCGTTTTTGATAGAATAAAGAGTAGACCGATATCTTTAATATTCGTTTATTGGGTGAGAACATTATGCCATATCATAACTGCTTTAAGTCAAATAGAATAGATGAAAAATGAGCTATGAACAGACTGACTTCTGCTAAATGGGTCAAACTGGGCAGACGACACATCGTATTTTATAAGGATGTTAACACTATAGATCAACTTACTTCAAAATATGTAAAGCATATACGCATCTACAGCAATATTATGCAACAACACAGCAATACTATCAATCCAAAATACTCCATGTTTCATATAACTGAAGAAAAAACACACTGACTTTCATTTTCAGGTACACTCTGGTGCTCATACTTACAAACGTCAAGTTTCTGTATACAGAACTTTTTACTGCCTTTCATACTTTTTACTGGAAGTACACGAGTACTTTCCCCCACACTGAAAACACTTGAATGATAAAAGTATTTTAACATTACCCAATAAGACCCGAACTCCTTCATGGCATGTATCTTTTATTTTTCTTTGCCATTTGGGTTGATTGGGACCTGATGAATTTGAAAACAAAGAATTACCAGATTTTTTTTTTTTATCTAATTTTTGTTTCTGAGAAACATGAGATCCACATTTGAAGACATTCATTTAAAATTTTGATAGTCACGAAGCGCGACCAGTTCTTTAAATTCGGGAAAAGGAGGAAGCACTTAAAGGAGCCTCGCTGTGACGTAATCGACCTTCACATGCGGCCTCCGAAGGATGCAGGGACACAGCCCTCCTGAGGATTACCCAGAATCCCTTGCTAATCCTAGTGGGTGCAGGGCGACATTTGACATTGGGTGGCGCTATTGTGCCAGGATGTAACCCTTTAAACTCTATTACATGAGCATGTGTATTTTGCGCATTAGCGGCCTGGACTTCTGCCTGGAGTCACGTGACTTTTCATTGAAGGGGCACGTGCGCCGGAGCTTCAGCTTCAAACGGACCATCACGAGCAGGAAGCGGCTCCCATGGCCTCTCCACTGAAAGTGTGCATAGTCGGGTCTGGAAACTGGTAAGCTCTTATGATGCTGACGTTGTTGCCGGACGCGGTGCTGCAAACAGGTTGTTGCATCTGTCGGTGTGCGGAGTGTTCGCGGTGTAGCTAGTGCCTACCTGGTTTGTAAGCGTCCTCCTGGAGTCAGATAAGATAAGATAAGATCACCTTTATTAGTCCCACACGTGGGAAATTTGTTTTGTCACAGCAGGAAGTGGACAGTGCAAAAGTTATGACGCAAAAATTAGAATACAATAAGAATAAATACAGTACACAGCTGTACAGAATACGAGGAGCTGGAACAGAGCTTCTTCAGCATAAGCACAGTGCTTTCCTGGTCGTGTACCTTTTTAATTTCATATTAACTGGTGATGTTAGTTTAAGTGTTGCATGTTTCAGGTGACACATCCGGAAGTTTGCCTTTTTCCAACAGCTGTCTCCTCTGTCTGCCTGCATCATGCGGTTTGACATATGAGACAGGGCTCGCTGAAAACAACAGCTAGTCTGTAGTTAATATTGACACGTATATGAATTTCCATTCTGTTCTGACAGAAACACAAATTATTCTCAGCAAAAAAAAAATGTTAATTAGATGTTTTATTCCGCTAAAGCATAATAATGTGGTTCGGTGAGATAAATCTGAAGCCAACATTTACCCCTGACACCAGCTGAGTGAAGGAACCTCGAGCTTACCTGCATCCGGGTCACTCTTTCAGCTGTTAATTTAAAATATGCGCACAAGTTCACTGGTGATTGTCACAATTTAAATGGTCAGCAGCCTGCTCCATAAACATGAAACTATGGCGTTATTTTGTGAGCCCCTCACAAACAAATAAAGAAATGTGCCATATGTTTCATAAGCACAGAGGGAGGGCGTGCTGGACATCAGTCCGCATAGAAACGGACCAAAACTTTAAGAACCGGGTTTGTTTGATTTGTTTCCTGTAGGCTGTAAGTAAGTGTTGTTTATTTCAGCATGAAACACGCGCCGTAGTAAGTTCAGGGACTGATCCGTGTGGTAACTCGAGCTTCAGTGCCTACAAGTGTCTCAAAGTTTGATGTGACTAAAGACTGAAAATGTCACAGTCACCAGTTCATACAAGCCTGAGTGCATGTCCATGTCAACATGACTACAGGTAACATTACAAAACGGTGTTTTCTTCAAAAATAAATATGTTTAATGAAGCCTGCTGATTGGACTCGTACAGAGTATTATAGTTCCCAGATTGATTATGACGCCACTGACAGCATACACTCACCACGCATGACCAGAGTTTCTCATTTGATTTGAGGATAAAAATGTCAAATGTTTGTTGTTGTTTTTTTTTAAATTGAAATGTAAGATGGTAAAAACAGTAACAGTGGGCTTAGTAACTCAGCTATGGCTGTCAGAGTAGACTGATGTCGGGTCAGATTGTGCTTACACTGGGAAACAAAAGCAGAGTTTTGTTATTTTATTTTCCCATAAACCTTAAAAGGCATCAGTGGCAGACTCTGCTATAAAATCAGTGAGCGTGTTACAGCCCATCAGCGTAGTGTTTAGTGAACAGTAACCTTCCCTTTGTCATCTCTGGACTCTTAGTGCATGTTTTCACCTGTGTAACACCTCGATCAGAATCTGTTTTGTTTACATGAAGCAACAGTAGGATCGTGTTCCCGGACAAGAACACTAGCACGCCTCCTTAATCCTTCATATGCTTAATCACCTCTCACACCAACTCTCTTCCACTCGAAAAATTCACAAGAATGAAGCTAACGAAGTAGCTTAGGATGGTCCAATTGATTAGCTGACTGAATGATTAATTGATCAATGCCTTGAAACATCTAGAAATATTTGCTGATCTCTGTGTCTTTGTTGCAGGGGCTCTGCTATTGCCAGGATTATCGGAGATAATGCCAGGACATTGCAGCATATTGCTACCACTGTGAAGATGTGGGTGTTTGAAGAAAATATTAATGGCAGGAAGCTTAGCGACATCATCAACACTGAGCATGAAAACGTTAAGTACCTTCCTGGATACAAACTACCAGAGAATGTGGTGAGAAGTAGTATGATGTCATTCTTTTGCTGAGCTCATTAAACTCTGCAGAGCACTAAAGCTGCACTATATTGCCAAAAGTATTCACTCACCTAAGTCATCGAATTCAGGTGTCCCAGTCACTTCCATCAAGAACGTAGGCATGTAGACTGCTTCTGCAAACATCATGGATCAGTGTGATGATGGGATGCAACAAGGCCGGTCATGAATATCCTCTTTATCAAATATTCCACAGTCAGCTTCTAGTGGTATTTTAACAAAGTTGAAGCCTACCACTCAGCCACAGAGTGGTAGCCCCATAAAATCACAGAGCAGGGTCAGCACCTAGTGCACCGAGGTCACCGGCTTTCTGCTACAGGCCTCCAAACTTTATGTTGCCTTCAGATTAGCTGAAGAACAGTGCATAGAGTTCTTCATGGAATGGGTCACCATGGACGCTGTATCCATCACCAAGCACAGTGCAAAGCATCCGGTGCAGTTGTGTAAAGCACGCTGACCTGAACTCTAGAGCAGTTCACTTCAGTCACAAATCGTGCAATGATGGACAAGCTGGCGTTTGGTGGCTGCCAGGAGAGCGATACGTGTCTGACCGCAATGACTGCAGTGTCCATATCGACATGGTTGAGAGACTTTGGTGTGGAAGAACTCGACTAGAGTCCTCACCTCAATCTGACAGAACACCGCTGGGATAAATTAGAGTGGAGGCTGCGAGCCAGGCCTTACATCAGTGCCTGACTTCACAAATGCGCTTCAGGAAGGAGGTCAAGAATTTACGGAAGCTTGTTTCTGCCAGTAAAAAAGAAAAATGTATCCATAACTCGAAATCTTGAGTTGCTTTTCTCAAAGTTTTGACTTATTAACTTGAAATTTCGAGTTACCTCTGCCAATCAGTAATCTACATGAATGTCATTTTCTTGTTACTTGGAAGGATATGGCGCACTCAAAACCGGAGCGCAACAAATTGGCGCCTTCGAGAGTTCGTTCGCTGATAGTAACGCCATGTGATTCAGCTAATAACACAAGGCTTTCATCATGTCTGAAGCCAGGCTGAAAATAGTCAGCAGTTTGTGCATTCATGACTGGCTGTAGTACTGGTAGCTTAGCATAGCATTTGTAGCTGAGGGTAACAGGGAAAAGACGTCATTCACGTAGCTTACTGATTGGTAGAGTTAACTCGAGATTTGGAGAAAATAAGCACACTACGAAATGTGGAGATCCTTCTCGTTAAAGCTGAAGCTGTTATCGTTGCAAAGGGTTGGATGACTTTCTATTAAACCCTTAGATTAAGACTGGGGTGTCACCCCAGTTCATGTATGGCTGAAGACAGACGAGTGAATATTTTTGGCAATATGGTGGAAGTCTGTAACACAGTACGGTGGGGAAATCACCCAGACTCGCAGGATTATTCAAAGCCTACTCAGCTTTGAATTGAATGGCGCTTCTGTTGTCTCCATAGGTGGCTGTACCAAAGCTCTCTGATGCCGCTATGGGAGCTGACCTGCTGGTGTTTGTCGTCCCTCATCAGTTCATTAGGAAACTCTGTGATGAAATGGTGGGCTGTGTCTCTGCCAGAGCTCGAGGAATCACGCTCATAAAGGTAATGATGCCCATTTCACCGTCTCACTATCTCACACTCCACTGCTGCTTTTAACTTTCCAAATTCTGCAGAGCAAAGACCTGACACAGGATCTGAGCCCTGCATACAAACTCAGCTGAACATGCCCGGAGTATCTTTGTTATGTGGATTTGCTTCCAACAGGATCCCTAATGATCAGGATAAGCTGTCACGTAAAGCTGTTTTTTGGTTCATATTAAGATAAGATAAGATAACCTTTATTAGTCCCACACGTGGGAAATTTGTTTTGTCACAGCAGGAAGTGGACAGTGCAAAAGTTATGAGGCAAAAATTAG